CGTGGAATGAGCGAAACACAGACACTTCAACTTGTTCTTACTGCCATTGGCTGCCATATATCACAGATAAGAAAGGACAAGAGACTTTCTGGAATAAATGACAGCCAATAGCAGTAGGAAGGACTTGTGATGGTAGAAAATACGCTTTTTGTTGATGACGAAAATGAAGGCTACAAGTTGAATAGCGTGTTTCTTCTAGTATAGTTCTTTTTGGAGACCTTGTGAAAACAAAAAGCTTGCGTTGGCCTCTAATTTTGGGCAAGACATGCATTTTGGAACTGTCTCTCATGTCGGTCAATTTAAAAAAAAACAATATACTACTTCTTGATTTGTTGTCGGCTTTACTGTATACTGTGTTTACTTCGATTTTTTGATTACTAGCATTTTATAGTTTGGCTGTCCAGTCATGCAACTGGCAACTTTTCTACTTGCTTTGCCTAGTGGTCAGCCTGTTGGTGATTCGTTCCATCGCTTGAAGGTATCTCCTGGAATACAGTATAGATTTTAATGCATTTGCTACATTTTAGGCTTTACCATACTCAGATGAGTAACTCCACTTAAAATGGCAAAAGGAGGATACACCACTGTCTGGTGATCTTGCTGCTTGATTTCAATTAATATCATATACCCCAGAGGCGATTGCTGCTTGTCCGCTCAGCTTTTTTCTCCCTGTTAAATTAGCCTCATAGCCCAGACAGATGATTACTTTCTCGCAAGCTTAGTGGTTTCAAAAGATAAAGAAAAAGCGTATTCTGTTCGGTCACTTGTGGCTTTTACTCTCCTTAATAAACGGGTTTCAGTCGTGACTTTTTTTTTCTGTCGAATACCCAGTTGTTTGTAAATAATTCTTACGTGAAGTTTTGATTTTTCGAAGTTGTTTTATAATTTTTTCCGTGATTTTGGTCCAAATACGGCAAGTGGAGAACGAATTATTCAGGAGAAATGCTGAATGTTTTTTTTCTCTCACTGTATATCCCGCACATCATAATCAGCCGTCTCATCTGCAACGGACTCACCGCCGCAACATTTCAGGTTCGAAGATGCTAAGTGGGCCTTCGCTCGACTTATTTATCTCGTCGGAAACCTTAGGAGAAGTGTAAAACAGCACAAAATTTTCAAAGTCGACAGTGAATTTTTTGGTGGAAGCCGACAAATTTTGCATT